AGTAGGAGTAGTAGGAGCAGGAGCAGGAGCAGGAGCAGGAGTAGGAGGAGTAGTAGTAGTAGTAGTGGTGGTGGTGGCGGTGGTGGTGGTGGTGGCGGTGGTAGCGGTGGTAGCGGTAGTGGTAGTGGTGGTAGTAGTAGTAGTAGTCGTCGTCGTCGTCGTGGTGGTGGTGGTGGTGGCGGCGGTGGTGGTGGTGGTGGCGGTGGTAGCGGTAGTGGTAGTGGTGGAAGTAGTAGTAGTACTCGTAGTAGTAGTAGCAATAGTAGTAGTAGTAGTAGTAGTAGAAGAAGAAGTAGTAGAAGTAGTAGAAGTAGTAGTAGTAGTAGCAGCAGTAGTAGAAGTAGTAGGAGTAGTAGTAGTAGTAGTAGTAGTAGTACTAGTAATAGTAGTAGTAGTAGTAGTAGTAGTACTCGTAGTAGTAGTACTAGTAGTAGTAGTAGTAGTAGTAGTAGTAGCAGCAGCAGGAGTAGTAGTAGTAGTAGTAGTAGTAGTAGTAGCAGTAGTAGTATTAATACTAGTATTTATAATAGTGGTAGTCGGCTGAGTCAGGAGCTGTCGTCCAGCCTGGAAAGAGAGGGCTTTCAGGGGTTTAGGAGAAGCCACGACGGTTCTTAGCCTCCGGTGTTGCCAACTTCAAGCACACTCGCACCTCATTCGTTGAGCCCTTCGCCCACCCTTCGAGGTGTTCTTTCCTTTGAAGGGTTATCCTCCTGTCTGTTGCGCTCCGGCAGCCGCGAGGCTCACCTTTTCTTATAGCAGGTATTCATAGCAAGTTGGTGGCCGTCCCGAGTGTTGATGAACGTGCTGCGCTGCTCCTTGGACGCATTGGGGGTCAAGTCAGTGCCAAGAGATGGGGGAGTTCCTCTCTTCGGTAATGTTCCCTTGAGTCCTGAGCTGAATGCCAGCAGTACTCGTCTGAGTGCGCTGGGTCGCACTTTGCCCACCTCTCCGCCCGTGTTCTGTTGAGGATGAAGTTTTCACCCTATGCTGTACTTTTTCTCGCCGTCGCCCAAGATTCCAGTATGCTGCTGCGTTGAGACCGCCCACTGTTGAGAGACCATGCAGCACACTGCTGGATTTCCACGAAAGCCGAGCAAGAAGAGACTCCTCAAGCGTAAGTCGTGATCTGCATGCTGAGCTGTCGACCAGGCCCTTGCCTCTTCAGGCAGTCCTGACGAAGAGAAGGCATTGGGGAGAGCATTTATCTGTGACACTGCTTGCTGATTGGCACTTCCTTCTGATGTCGTCAGGTGTGCGAAATTCCATTGGTGTCAGAATATCATAATGTCCTCGCTTGACACCCCATCGGCAGGCCAGTGCGAATGTCACTGCGTCCGTCAATGCTTCGGCGGCATCGGCGGCGTCGGCAGGATCACTGCAAAGGCGGCTCCTGCTCTTCTGGCCAGTGGACAACTCCAAGCGGACGGTGACACAGGCCAGGGCAGAGTGCTAGGGACCATCCCTTTCAAGCAGCGACGATGTTTCATCTTCGCGGCATTTTGGACCAGATTGTCCTGCGTCTCTTGTGCAAGAGGGTTTGCTCTTGTTACTCTCGCCATTTCTTGTAGGGTTTCAGCGTCTTCGTGCGCCTAGCACTCTGGATTGCTCCCAATTGTGCGTGGCACGAGAAATAAGACTGCGAAGGTGAAGAAGAACGTGCATTACATTCGGTGCCCTGGAAGCAGCTTGATGAAGCCCACTCTGATTTTACATTCCAAGCTGTGTGTTTGCTTCCGATTCAGGGAACGCGCAGCAACCTGCAGTGTAGATCCCTACAATTATCGACTCTCAGTTGATCGATGTTCGTTCAGATTTTGCGACGCCGTTACCGGGTATCGGATCTTTGAGAACAGCAAAAATTGCACGTGAATCGAAGAGGGGAGTCTCCAGGTCCTCCTTGGGCGATGACTGCTGTCACGTGATGCTTGCTCACTATAAAGGCAAGATCTGGGGTGCTTCCTTTGAAGAGTCTGTTGCAAGTTAGCCGTGGCACCTCGAATATTCTTCAAGCTTGCGGGCCGACGTGGGCTGTTGGTTGGGAGATCGAAGGTCATAGGCGGCTCTAGCAGCGTTCTTTGCGTCTGCCAAGGCTTGAATGGTCTGGCAACGCAAGAGCCCAAACGCAAGCACTCTGCAACTTCCACCAGCAACCCGGAGGAGGCAAGCCGGACGACTGGGGTTCCCAGTGGTACAAGGACAACGTGGCTGGAAGCTACGTCGGTCCAGGCCGGCTGTATCCGCTGCAGATGTGAAGCTCATAGGAACAGTCGATTGAAGATGGCCTGGCCTCTGAAGCCACAAGTTCGGCAAGGATTCAAGTTCAAGTTCATGCGGGATGCGTACATGAAGGCCATGAATGTCGAGGAGCTTCTTTCGGCCGCCTTTTGAAACTTTCTTTCGCTACGTTGCTTTCGAGCTTTGCGAGGAGAGCTGGGAGTCCAAGTACGAGTACGTCTGGGGCCTTGACAGTGACCTGGATCTCACAGGTGGGCCTCTGAGCCTAGTCTGAGTTTCTGAGTGCGTGTGGGTGGGAGGAACGAACCTGACCAAGCTCTTAGAGATGGCGCGGCTGTCCAACGCCCTCATCGTCGGCCCAACATTCGTGGGCAAAGGCGCGAGGCTAGCATCGTGGGGCACGGACGAAGCCTGAAGGTAGCACGGATGTCCGAGTGGGTGCAGGAGTGAATTGGGTGAAGCCATCGGGAGTCCGCAAGAAGGGCAGTGGGAAGGCGCGGAGATCTGGCAGCCTACGGATAGCTCTTATCCTGCTTAAGTTCAAGTTAGACGTTCACTTCGCACAGCTTTTTCTCGGCACATCCCTCGCTCCATCTTGCAGCAGGGAATCGCGGAATGTGCAACTTAATTGAAGGATCATTTGTGTTTTTGGTGGCAGGGACGCGGGAGCAAAGAGTGACACAACTGGGAGGGAAAGGGGCAGAGACAAGAGTGCAGTAGAGGCCGCTGTTCGCGTGAGGAGCCATATGCCTGCTGCTGTTCTCTTTAAACTCCTGATGCTTCAAGAGCCGATCACTGTCAGGCAGCCAAGCACTCCCCAAAAGCGCACAAGAAGCACAGCCACCCTGCAGCGAAAGCGGAGAAGGCTCCGCCAAGTGCTTCATGCAAGGTGAGCTGTGCCAAGTGCGGAGGGAAACTCGCGAAGCTAGAGGCTCCTTGCCAAGCCTTGAAGTTTGCTGCGATGTCCTGAGGACAAGGTCACCTCGCAACACGTGGGCGTGGAGCCGCGGGCCCAGTGCAAGCTCCGAGCTCCTAGGTCGTGAAGACCACGATCTAGATAAAGAAGAGTATCATAATCATAATGATACTGAAGTAATGAGGATCATAACAGTAATAATGACAAGACTAATTGTAATGGCCAATAGCTTCCGAGAGCTTCTGAGCTGGCCAAGGCCTCACAAGGCCTCGTCCTTGCAGGAGCAAGCCCACCAGGCGCGCGCCCTGCGCCCTGCCTCCTTTGTGTCACCGGGCGGGGGGGGGGTGGCTTTTTTTTCGGGCTGTTTTCTGTCTGCAAAGCAGTTTCCAGGTTGCCATGGATCAGACTGATGTCTCTGCTTCTGGCCGCATGGCTTGATCAAGAGAAAATTCTCTTACGTTTGTCGTTTACCGTTTACCCTGGGCTGGCGTGGACTAAGCTTGGCTGATTTCAGGTATCTCGTTGCCTCTGATCTATTGCGGCTTCACTTCCCGAGACGGTTTTTCCTATGCCACTGAAGAAAGCTCTTTCGGCACTGCAGAGACTAGATTAAATGCTTTCTCGTGAGACCTACGCTACGTGGTGCCAGTGTGGTCCCAACTACAGTTAAGGCTGTGCTCAAAGGCTTGCAAGGGTGCTCAAAGGCTCTGGCCATAAACAGTGCACTACGAACGCCCTGTCCAGAAAAGCCGCCGAGGAAGCTACGAGGAGCTTGAAAGCTCCATCTGGATATTCGAGAGACCTAGCCCCAAGTGTGTGTCTTGGACACGAGGTGTAAGATCATGGATTTGCCGGTAGTCACTTCGGCCGAGTTCTAATTACGTTCTGTGATTTGGTTTTGCAATTCCGTGGGGCTTGATCTGTTATGCAACACTGCGTGTCTGTCTATTCTTGTTCTTGCTTCTGCTGCCAGTTGCTGCTGTTGCTGCTGAGGCAGGGCTAGGCTGTACTCTCCCCACCATGATTTTTTCATTCAACAAATTGTGAGAGCATCTAATTCATTCAGTCAGTTGCGGTTTGCGGATGCACAGTGCTTTGTGGGAGCAGTTACCAGCTGAGGATTACCGGCACACCGACTTTGTAGAACTGACAGCGCCGCTGCTCAGTCCAGCGGCACTTCCAATTGTGTTTAATCAGTGCACCTCGGTGGCAGTCTTGCGGTTGGAGACAGGAGGTGACAAGAGGAACTCGCAGAGTTCGGGAAGCATGGCTGATGCTGATGTTCAGGTTACGGTTCGCCTTGTGTTGGTGAGCTTCAGCTTTGGGGGAAAAAATCGCTGGCCCGGCTTTTACCGGAGCCCAGTTGTGCAGTCCAGTCCAAACCCAAGGCACGGACTGTATCCACGACACCTCAGACCCGGGCTGAGAAAGAGCGGTGGGCGCGTTTCCCCAAACCGCAAGCACAACTTCACCTTTTTTGGAGTTTCTTGAGCTGAGGACTGGGGCCTGGCCCGGGCCTCGTTCGAGTTATCGGAGAGTGGGATGCGTTCTCTGATGTTTCTCCTCCCATAAAAGGACATGGTGTGGTGCAAGTTCCTGTCCTCCAAGAAGAAGCTCTCCAGCAGCCCGCACCACAGAGTCAATCTCCTCCTTTGCCTCGGCATGCAGTGCTCTCTGCTCGTGCTGCAGGCTGTGCCTTGATAGACGCCGCTCCCGTGAATCACTTGAACTGGCGGCAGGCCGACCTGTCAAAAGCTCCCTAGCGGCCCAAGCGAAGCATGTGTCATGCCACCTACCAGCTATATGAGAAGTGTTTGCTGCACTTTCACACACATTAATATTTATTGGTGCTATTGAGAGACCTTCGCGGCTGCTTGTTCAGCCGAATCCACTCGTAGGCGACGCTCTGTGCAACACGAGACCTCAGGCTTGAGTCTGCAAAAAGGTCCAGAGGGCCCGCAAACAGCGTCCCAAAAACAGCTGCGCACCGATACACCGTTACACCCCTGACCGCGAGAGCGGAGTATCGGCGTGTCGGCGTATTTCCCTTGCGGATCGGCGTACATCGGCATGGCGCCCCATCAGTCCGAGGCTGCATCCTCGGAGTTCAGAGGTGGTAGCAGTTCTGATTTTAACATCAGGGGCGGCCCTTCAGTCGAAGGCTCCATCCTCGGAGTTCAGGGGTGGTAGGAGTTCTGATTTTAAATGGGGTGGGGGATGGGCTGGGTGGGGTTGGGCTGGGGTGGGGTGAGTGGCGGATCGGCGTATCGGCGTATCGGCGTGTGTCCCTTCCACGGACCTTGACCGGCGAATCTGCGCATCGGCGTATTTCCCTTCCACGCGCCTGCGACCGGCGTGTCGGCGCAAGGCGATTTAAGGACACTCTTTGCAGGCTCGCTGGTTCGGTGGCTAATGAACGCCCCAATCTTTCGAGCAATGATAGGCATGGCCAACACGTGCTGGCTGCCCCCTTGTCAGGCGAAAGTCTCCAAGGCCTTCCTCGCACCTGGGCTTTCATCTCCAGTCTTGGCTCGTAACATCTAACATCATGCAAGTAGAAGTTAGTCTAGGCAGGGTTTCGGGATGCTGGCTCTACGACTGTAGCACTAGTAGGGATGCATGATGCATTGGGAAGTTGTAGCATCGTCATGTGTTCGGCCACTGCAATCTCTGGGGCCCTGATTCCGGCCCAGGCAGCGAATAAGGATGTTTGGCACAAGTACCGCAGCTTGGCTTTGTTCAACTTGACTGAAGCCACTACGCAGTTCGTCCACAGCGTGAGATCGACTCCAGATCTCAGATGTCGATGTTGGTCTCAGGGTGTCTCAAGCGTGAGTCTGCTGCAAGACAGCCTGCAAGAGCGGAAATGCACCGAGGGCCTTGGTAGGTTCCCTTCCAGTGCCCTCATGTCGAGACTTAGTTTGCAGCCCTCCTCCTTTGCCGGCCCAAAGCGTCTTCGCTCCAAGTCTGCAAAGCTCAGGAAAGTACTGGAGTGCACTGAAAACCCTGAGCTGCATCGTCGTGGAGCCGGCGGTCAAGGTGGAAAAAGTGGAGGAGCACTGAAGAGCTGACATGCGGGGTCAAAGGCGTCGACGACCCCAATCCTTGCACTAATGATGATTCAAAAAGGAGCTAGAACTTCCCGGCAACCGCCACCTCATCCGCAAAGCGGGTCGGTTCAAGGCCGTGCTCCACGATCGTGCTCAGCAGCAGCTCAGGTTGAGTTGTTGACATTTCGCCAGGCACCGCAGGTGTTGAAGTCCGAGGATGCAGACAAGCCTGACCACACCGTCACGTTCTAGGGATCACTAGCTCCTCGAGGATTGAGAGACCTGTCGGCTTCGGAGTGTGGAGCCAAAGAATCGAAGCATGCCAAGAGTTTCGGTTGCTCAGAGTGGAATTTGGAATCACGAGAGAACCGGCCATTTCCGTGTGGCCTTTGGCGAAGTCTCTAAGTTCCAGCTCTAGAGCCTCTGAAACGTCGGTGGCTCTGGCTGGCCCCGGTTTGCGTGTCCCGAGATGCCTCTGCCTGCACGACACGCTTCTGTTCCAGAACCTCCGCTGGCACCCGAGGCGAACATGCTGTGCACTGGTCGAGAATGGTCGTTTTTTTGTTGAGAAGTCCCCAACTCAACTCCGATCCTGAAGGCGGCT